TTCATGAGATTAATGAAGCTTTTGCATCTCTGACTATTCAGGTTAGACAGTCTCAATATTAAGTTCCTGAAATCATAGTGTCTAAAATTCTTAGTCTAATTTTTTTTTTGCCATTGTATAGTAAAATTCACTGATGATTTGTCTTTAGATAGAAAAGGCAGTAAAGTTTCTGTATGATCTAAGAAACACTTGAATGACTAAACATATTGCATACCTCTTTTAATCACGAAATTTGATAGTAATCAAATAAATCTGACATGAATATTGGGGCATATGCCTTTACCATCAATTAAAAAAGAAGAAATAAAAAGAAGGTTGTATATTTTTCAGTAGACCTATGGTACTTCTTTTGACATTTCTGGATGTTTGCTATGATTTATATGCTTCTAAGCAGCAGATTTTTACAACTGGTATAAAAAATGAGCTTTGAACTGGAATTTTGGGATATAAAGAGGCAGATTTGAGGGGAAGTGTTGGTGGTTTTGTTGTTTTGAGTTTTTTTTCTTTAGTTCTTTGAACAGAATAATCACTTGTCTCCAGACTTTAAGGATTAAGATGGTAAACAGTTGAGGTCTTTTTTTTTGTTGTTGTTGTGACCCCTTCAGCTGGCACAGAACCTATTTTTGGATAAGATTTTACCAGAGCCTCGATAATTTAAAACTGCTTATCTTGGGAATACTAGGAATACCATGTTGAAATCTAGAGCTGTCACAGTCCTCCTTACCATCATGGCTTCAATCCTGTGGCTCAGAAGGAAAGGGAATAATAGTTTGTTTTTGTTTTTGGTTTTTTTTTTTTATAGCTTAAACAAAACAGAAGAAGTTTTAAATAGTCAGTTAGAAATACATTGGTATAAGAGAAAACCTTAATGTTAAGCTCAACTAGAACTGCCTTTCTAGATGCTTTTAGAATACTCTGAGAAGTATTAGTTTTGCAGAAAAATACCTTTCAGTATACCTATCATTATAGGTTGATGCCTTGTTCCAAGCAGCAAAACTGAGTGACTTTTCTGATTGATTGATTTATTTATTTTTATATCCCCCCCCTTCTTTTTCTCAGAGATAATCTTTTTTTCCTTATGTGACTGGTGAAGAATTCTGAACAGTTCTAACTAAGCGTCTGGTGCTGACAGTAACTTTTTCTTTGAATAAGAACTGGTTTAGTTTATGCGTATTTTATTTACTGTGGAAGAAACCTGTTCCCAACAGGTCACAGACAATCCCAACTGCAAGACGCACCACTCTCTCAATAAAGGAATGTTCTACTTGTCTCCTGCTTGGAATACATGTTTTATGAGGATGTAATGTATCTCAACTCAAGTTTCATCTGCCTCAGCATATATAGTTTCTTCTATGTTTGATTCCATCTACCAGATTCCAACTATAGGTCTCAGCACAGCTCCTTCGAATAGGGCAGCATGGTTTGAAATGATACATTCGAGCATATTCCTTTGTCCCTGGAACTTGTCAATTTGATGATTCTTTGATATTTTAGTAGGGAATCCATTGTGGGAGATCTTGTGATGTAGCATTAATCATCTTATGAAGACTAATTCATATCACCGCTGTGAGTATGAGTGCATTAATAGCATTAATTCTTGCTTTCCTATGTAAAATATTGACTATTTAGAGAAGATGTGCAAACCAGTGTAATATTTTTCCATGAATAAAGAGGGAGATAGCACACCTATTCATCATGAGATGAAGTCAGCTTCTGAAATTAATTTTCAACACCAGATATTACTGTTCTATCTGTCAATTCCCTGTGAAGATGGGACAACAAATAATTTTTAAAAGACCTCATATTACGAGTCATTCCTTGTCAGCGTGACTTTTATGTGGACCATATTAAGTAAAAAGATCAGCAAATGTACAGTCTTACGTTTTGGAGAGGATAGATGCCAAGCTTCTGGATCAGGTACATCTGTAATTATGAGCAGTTCTATGTGTTAAGGAAAGTCAAGCAGGAAAAAATGTCCATAGCTAGGCCATTACCTGTGGCTTTCTGTTGAAATAAAATCACAACACAGACTGCTAGATATACCAAAGTTTTGATTTGCCTTAGGAATTTTGTTCTTTTACTCTTTATACTAAAAAGGGACTGCTTCCTTTCAAATGTACGTGTGTAAGTTTTTTGCTTGGTTGTTCAGCCTGTTACGGTGATTGAAGTCTCGTGCGTGCTCTGGCCAGAGTAATTTGGGGGGAAAAAAAAAAGAAAAAGGCTGAATACTGTTACTTTCCATCACTTCTAGACCAATAAAATGAAAAATATCTCTAGTGGAGTATAATAATCTAGGAAAAATACTTAGTATTGCTTTTAGGGACATTTACCATTAAATCAGGCTCTTATTTTAATGTTAAAGAATATTATACTTTCCCTAAGTATTGCCAAATGGCCCTTTGTGCTAAAAGAAAAGATTGTAGGGTATTTGCAGGATCAGAAGTTCTTGTGTCTGTTGAAAAACGAACAACAATGTTATTTTGATGGCATTTGAAGAATGTGTCTCAGACTGTGACCTGTGATACTTTGAAAGAAACTTCCATTAAATATTAACTGATATTGCAGAGATATTTTGAAACTTGAGAAAGATTTTTTTTTTGTGTTGCTTTTTTTTGTATACTTCCTAGAATTGACCTTATACATGATGTAAGCCTTAGAAATTACTTGAAAGTAGATAATAATACTCTCATACCTATAGCTATTAAATTCATCCACAGCCATTAAAACACGCTAACAATGAGCACTTCTGTTTTGCTATTCTCGCCTACTAAAAAACTACATCTTTGAAAAATTATATTCTCTTGTTTCTGTTGTGCTGGAGCCCCAGTCGTTCATATTCTCAAACTGATTTTACTCGTGGCGAGGGTGGTGATGCTTACTGTTCTAGCTAAGCCCTACCTAGGTGTAATTCAAAAACAAGTAGTCCAGACCATTAAATCAACACAGTTTTTCAGCTCTGGTCCTATTATCCAACATGCCACATTCACTTTTGTGTTGGCGTCATCAGGTGCAGGTTTAATAAACATCATCTCTTTTCCATCATCATCCTTTCAAGGAAATGCGAAGTAATGTTCTACCAGAAGAAAACCCAGTCAGTGTGTTCTTCCTGGATGAAACATTATGTGAACTAATCGTTTCTGAAATTTGCTTTCCAAGTCAGCTCTGCGCGCATATGATAGTAGTTGTATATAAATTATGTTTCTGTAGATTGTTTTGCATGGTGCTCTCAGAAGACATTGCAAAAACCTTTTTGAAGAGAAGATAGGACATCTGTTGGTTCCCTTTTATTTGCAAGGACAATTGTCTAATTTCTGTAGTGATACTGAAAAAAATGTATTTGTGTTGAATCAATGTAGGGTGTTAATTGTATCTGTGTTAGATTCTGGGTGCACAGAAGTGGTTTGCTTATGTTTTCTGATGTTTTTGTGGAAACTTCATTTAAGTTAATTGATCTGTAGTTCTGTGGCTGGTTCTTTTTGATGAAGCTATGTGTGGGCACAAATTTGATTAAATAGTAAGTGTCACTGGCTGGGTAAAAACAATCTGAAGCTAGTGCATCTGATTTCCTTAACTTTCGAGTGTAAAGAGGAAAGAGATACAGAGCCAGCATCTGAGAGAAACGGCTCTCTGAAGTGTTTTGAGTGTGTTAGTGAGAATTAACATTACCCTGTTTGCACTGTTGCCTCTTTTGCGATAAGACACATCGAGTTGCAGGAGTTACTGTGTTGTGTAATTCTGATAAGGTAGGATCAGAATTTTTGTGCGTTCTGGCCTACCCATCTTTTTGCTTTTGACTCTGTGTGTGGCCCAGTGAGCGTGTCTTTCGTTTCATTATGTTAGAATCATAGAATCATGGAATTGTCAGCGGTTTGTATTACAGCTTTACTAGTGATTTGCTGTATGAGCTTAGGCAAGTTATTTTACCTTTGTTTACCTTCTTTTCACTGTGGTGTTTTTTTTGTTTGTTTGTTTGTTTTTGTCTAGAGTTGACCAGTCATTAGCTTTCAGCTTTAAGTGGTGTGCAACCAAAACCAATTCTCAGTATTAGGATGGCAAGAAGACTTCTGAGTTATCAGGATCCCTAGATGTGGAAAGCAATGAACCTCTAAGGGTTTCCAGTATTTTTACTACTGGAACCTGTCATGTGGCCGCCAGCCCGCAGCGGTGAGGGCTCCGTGGACCATGACTGCCAGTGAATCAATTTGTGTCATTGTTTCTCCTTTTGCAGCTGAGATTTTCAGTTCTTTATTATGCAAAGATTTTGGTACATTATTTAAAAGGTGCAAAAATATTGGTCATCTCTGGCCTAGACACTAAACAGTGTTTCAGTGACTTCCGTGTTCATAAAATACTCGCTTGTCACAATGAAACAGAACTGCCGATGCGGTATTCCAGCTAAAGAGGAAATGGTCACGGATCATGAACCTACATCCTCAGTTCATTCATAGCCTCAAATACCTGGTTCTGAAACTTGCTCACCTGGAGGCTTACTGTGAGACTTTTCCACAAGGGAAAAATTAAATGTTTAAATAGGTAAAAGCAACTGAATGTTGATGTATTAAAGCTAAGATTCATTCTGGGTATCTTCAGAGGAGAGATAGGGAGGATGTAATGATGTTACTGTGGCATACCTAAAGAGCTGTCACCTGCAAAATTGTATACAAAGTAGAGAATTTGATGACTTTGACTAATTGATGCTATTCTCGTAACACTCTGAAACTGGAGCATTTTGTGTGTGTATCTTCTGTGTTAAAATGGGAAAGAAGATAGTTGGCACAGATCCTAAAGTTTCTCATGCTGTTGTGAGAACTGCTGATCAAAAGAGAATGGGCCTCCTGTATCTTTTCCACCTTTTCTTCTTTCCCAGAATCTTAAGGATGAGTATTTCTAGTATTCACATCATCTCTACTATGTCAGTAATTTGTACTCTTTAGAATAATGTGAATGTCTGCTACGGTCTGTAACTGCTTAACACATTCTTCTCTTATCTTCATTTTTAGCTGTACATCCTTGACCCCTGGACCTAGCTGTGATCGATTCAAGCTACATATCCCTTATGCTGGAGAAACACTGAAATGTGAGTTAAAAACAATTGCTATTGCATCTTGGCCTTTCTTTCGGTAACGGCGTTCTATATCATGTAAAGTTTTCCATTGTGTCTAATTTTATTAGTTTTGAGATGCTTGTGTTTGTTTTTTTTTCTTAAAGCTTCAGTTCAAAGAACACGCAACTGTAACAATATCTAATTTTTAAGATAAGTTTACAGCCTTCCTTGATAGTACAAATTTGAAAATAAGTCATAAAAGCCAAATCCCCCCCAATACTTCCATTAAAATGTTATGACTAAGACAATCTCGTCACCATTTTTAGACTCACTTATGATTTGTGTATACTTTGTGTTCTTTCTCTTTTTCCTCTTTTAGAAAGAATTCCTTATTAAGGTCTAATAAAAGAAGTCAGTCTATTATTTTATTAGGTATCTCTGAACAGTAATTGGTATAATTGACCAGATGACAGAAAAGTGACTTTTTGTTTTTTTCTGGTTTAGTGGTGTGATTAAATCCTCCTTGCCCTTGGATGATCTGTAGATAGCTGGCTCATTTACCTACTCTTCAATTACTCTGTATTTTGTTCAAAGGGTTAGAATAAAATTTGCTTTTGTATGTTTTTAGAAGGTAAAAACCAGTTTTCTAAACACCTGAATTGCTGATAATCTGCATATGAAAATGGTAACGTTGTGTTGGTTTTTGTCTCTAACAATTGAAATGTGAGAGAGGATGCAGAATTTCAGATAAGTAAAGTTTAAAGCTTGGCAATTTTAGATTTAGGGCAGCGCTGGTGAAACCTCATCTGGAGTACTGTGTCCAGTTCTGACCTCCCTAGTACCAGAAAGGCGTGGACATGTTGGAATGAGTCCAGCAAGAGACCACAAAGATGACTGAGGAACTGAAGCATTTGTTGTACAAGGAGAGGCTAAGAGAGCTGGGGTTTCTTGAGAAAAGAAGGCTCAGGACAAATCTTATCAATGTGTATAAATACCCGATGGAGGGAGTGAAGAAGATGGAGCCAGGCTCTTCTCAGTGGTGGTCACTGAAGGAAAATGTTCACAAACTGAAATTGAGAAAATTCTATTTCAAAACATTTTTTTCTGTGCTCAGAGCTTATGTGTCTTCATCCTTGGAGATACTCAAAACCCAACTGGACATGCCCCTTAGCCATCTGCTCTTGTTGACCCTGCTCTGAGCCGAGGGATTGGACTAGGCAGTCTCCAGAGGTGCTTTCCAACCTCAGCTGTTCTGTGAGTCTGCGAAAATGTGCCATCTGGAGGAGGAAGTACTTGATGTGAACAGAAATGTTAAACATTTGAAACACTTCCCGCTTTTTATAATATCCATTTGCACTGCGTCATACACATGCTATAGCTCTCTAAGAGATTTTAACATTAAGAATGTTGTTGTATTCCTCTGTAGTAGTTTTCTTGTCATTGTGTAGTGCACTGGAAGTCCTTCTCCTCTATGAACAGAAAATAGTTAAACTTGTTATCATTAGACGTACTTTTAAAGCTTCCATTTGGCACTTACAAGGAAAGTTTTCTTTCCCAGAAGTTCATCTGGAAGCTTGCTTGTGTGTTCGAGAGAGGAAATAGGCTCATGTATCGGTCTACTATAACTCCTTTATCTATTCTAAAAGTATGAAATCATGGCTCAAGAGCTAACTAATCACTCTTTTCCAAAAGATAAAAATGAAATATTAAGTCCTAGCTATCAATTATTTAAAGGGAAAAAAAAAAAAAGAAAAAAAAAGAGGTGGCTATGCTTTTATTCAGAATTTTCAGTAAGTAATGGCTGTATTATATGAAGCCAACTATCCTACCAAGTAGAATTTTTGTCCTTATTTAAACTTTTTTTTTTTTTAAAAAGTGATATTGTGTAGCGGACCCAATCTGTTGAGTCTTGATGTGGCCTGGAGTGTCTAGTAGATTATACTTGGGACTTGTTGGATGACTGCAATCAAGATGCAGTGAAACGAAGCTTCATTGGATGACATTGTTTTAGAGAATGGTATCATGTTTTCTGTGGGACTGTAGTAACTCTCTCATTTATCACCATACAGGGCCCTATTATTACATTCTGAGAACTTTTAGTCTTTACTTGTTTTTAAGTTGAGACTGGAAGCGTTCCTGATTCATAAAGGAAAATTAGTAGATTAAAATGCCCATCTGCGAGGAGACAGGCATACAGACTATACTAATATACTAAAATAACTGTAGTCCACTTAAAGTATCTAGAAATATGATTGAGCTATGCACGAAATGTCAATATTGAGAAATCAGCTTTTTTTCTTCAGTTCTTATCTTGTATATCACATAAGCAGTTAAACAAAACAACTATTATGCTACTGCTCTTCTCCACCTTTGCAAAACCCAAACCACACATTTTAACCATGCTATGTATTTTAACATGACCAACTGAAAGTGGTGTAAACAGGTGTCTCTTTTCCAGAGGCACCTAACAATAGCAGTGAATTCAAGTAATCCTTCACGTTTCAGCATTATGTTTGAAAATGCTGTGCATTGTTCAGTCTCACAGCAGATGGAGTAAATAGTAAAGCAAGCAGATTCAAGAGAAGTTTAATAATTTTTGTGTTTAGACCTGTAACGATGACAGGGGAAGGCGGCCATGGTGTGCAACCAGAGATTTGTAGATGCTTTGTTGTAGGCTGTTGCTAGATATGTTATCTTTCAAGGGCAGAATATTTCTGCAAAGGAAAGTTGCGAAATCTGCCAGAATAAACAGATTGGCTGAAAATGTTCAGGATCTCCAGTGGATGGTCTTCATTATGTGGTGCCCAATACAGGCTGAAGTGTGTAGTTCCTTTGTGGTTTGTGTTACATCCTCTTTGCAACAGATCAGATCTTTGCATATCATCAATCATAACCGCTGCCACTGCACAAATACCCTAGTATGAATCTGAGCGTGTTGAAAACTGTTGGTATGCTACTTTAGAGAAGTATAACTGCATAGTCACAGTCCTCTTTTCCAAAAGGCCAGGAAGTTCACTGTTTGCTGAAAAAGGGGAAAGTGCACTTGCAGGCAATGCAGAGGCTGGCTACCTGTAATGTAAAGTTATTGTTTTGTTAGCTTTCGTAAGATCAAATATCCTGTGAGTTAAGAATGGCTTGCTGGTAATTTTAATGCATTTTCTTGAGATCCAGCTAGCTGTTTAATAGTTTTTTTCAGATGTCTCCTTCATCTTACTCTTGCATATATTCTGAGCTGCTGGAATGTTATACCGAACATTTAACTTAGCTCCATCCAGGAACGTTGGAGACCTTGGAGATATCCACAACTTTATACTAGAGAAAATACTCTGTCAGTGTTGGAGATAAATTAGTTTGTCATGCTGATCGTCTTCCGTCACACTTAAGAAATTTTTAAAAGATGCTTTCAGAGATACACTTTTACTTTATTTTCTTTCGTAAGGGAAACCACAAATTTTGTGTTTTCATGTCTAGAATGGCTGGAAAACTTGAACCTACTCTTGCTATACTATTAACTAAAATCTGAGACACCTATATTTTTTGTATTCATTCATCCAACACTTAATGCTGCTATGTTAAACTCAGTGCTTTTCTTTGTATTTGAATTTTTCAAAGCTTTTAATGGGAGTTTTAACTCCAGGAAGACTGTCTGTAATATCCTGTAAGCGGTTGAATCTGTGTTCCAAGGACAAAACTTATAAGCATTCTGGTATGCAGAACTGTCCCTTATTGCTAAGTGGACAGCCATATTTGCTGAGTAAAGTTCGTTGTCCTTTCTGGGAGAACTATTTGTGTATTTTGAGGTGAAGTGTTTTGTAAATCTTGCAGATGTGCTGGTCTTCCTTGCTGAAACGTCAAGGCAGATGTCATAGTAGAAATTGTCAGGATAAGCAGAGTTATAAGCTCTAATAGTCTTTATTGAGTAATATTAATAATTAAAATACACCATTAAGAAACAATTCCTTGGTCATTGCAATTTTATATCAGCAAACCCTGGAACCTCTTGGTTTTGTTTTTCCATTTTCACTCAAGCTTTCATTGCTTCTTGCTACTAAGAGAGGCTGACTTTCTTTTTTTTGCCTGTGCTCTTCACATTTTCTTTTTCAGGCACTGATGCCTCCCTCCCTCTCTGTCCTTGAGTGCTGTCATCTGGAATTTCACGGTGATTAAACAATGTGTTGCCCTTGCGATGCTACTGTTCTCTGTGGCCTCTTGAACTCTAGTATTTTCATCTTCTCTCTGATTTTCGCTGTTTTTATGTGAGTGGATTACTTCTCCAGGTTCTACTGCCACCACTTTGGTTTCCTTGATCCTGAAAAGCGTTTCTTTTGTCTTATTCAAAGCTTAGTTTTTTTTTTTTTCTTCTGATTTGTGTTTCTTAGTTTCTTACTCGTTTTAGTTATAGGCCTTAGAGGGGGGGAAAAATCGTAATTTTGCTGCCTAACTGTTTTAAGAATAGTGCCCATAATACACTGTACAGAATTTCATCTGCTTTTATTCCTGTGATGGAACTCTTTCAGTAAGTTCATCTAGTCTTCCTGTGGCTTTCTGCTTTAAGGAAGTAATTAGAAATAAACAAAATGATAAATATGAAGAAGAGCCTGACCTCTCTTTTAAAAGCTGCTTTGCAAATTTGTTTGCTAAACACTTGTTTATTGTGCCAATAAACAATTGTAAAAAGGATTTTACAAGTTATTATAAGATTTAAGATTCTCATAACTAGGTTGCTGCAATGCGTGCGTCAGTCTTCTGTGCACCATTAGGTTACTTTGCACTGGTTGTGGTTTAGTTGATGCTCTTATGGGAAGGACTTCTTGATTGCTGTATTTCAAATTATACTTAGATGATATTAAGTGTCTTTTTTGCTGGATCATGCAAGGTACCAAAGATTTTTCCCAGCAGTATGTTTTGTGAAGTTTTGTAAAAGCAAGGCTGCTTTACATGGCAGGAGAAATGAATCTTCTTCCTTCAGTAACCTGTTCGTTATCTAATGAATGTGCCTCATGGGAAACATAGGGAGAGAGTGTCTAATTTTT